CCCTCCTGCCCCCGGCGGTCCCAGACCGCAGCCCGGGCCGGCAACAGCCCTGCCTGCACCGCTTGGGTACCACCCGCCCGTGCGATTTGCAACTGGGTCCGTGAAGAGCCACAGCGCGACGGTTAACAAGTCTGCAGCCAGCACACGCTCCTGCAGGACGCATTGCTTTAACGTATAAAGACAAGCAATCTCGGGAAAATATTACCATTTCGTCCCCCGATCTATGGACGGACTAAAAGTCTAAGGGGAAAATTTAGCTTTTAACTATTTGTTATTTTACTTAATAGGCATGAACCGATCACCAATTTAACGCTTACTAGTTCATTAAAGGCATTGTTAAAAACACGGTAAGCTACAGCCAGGTGATGACCCATTTTCAGTACTGCTCACTTTCGTGCTAGTGACCGTATTCAGCTGGTAAAATAAAAAATAAATTTAAATATAACTATACTAGGGTAAAAGATTACAAAATAATAAAACGCCTTACCCCTTTAATGTAGATCCCAAGTTCATTTGATTCCATGTCATGCATTCAAGCTGTGAGGTCATTTGGTATAAATTGTCACTGTTATGAAAATATCTAGAATTAGAACTAAAATTACTGCGATCAAATTAAAACTAAGTTAAAATAGCAGCATTATTATTTCTTACTTGTTTTTAAACATATAACAGTAGCAAGTGAATTTATTCTATAGAATCCCATTTATCAATGTAATATCAATTTTAAAAGAAGGAAAGAATGGCTGTGCAGTGAAAAGAAAAATCTTTTTTAATCTACAGGTCTGTTCATTTTTCAGTTGCTGGAAGCTGAGACAACGAGCTTTTTCCTTACAGAAAAGTAAGATGCTATATTGACATATTTAAATCAATGAAACGAATATATGCCGACTTGTGGGTTAACAAAGCAGATTATTTGTTTTAAAAAGGCAAATCTGTTAACTGTTTTAACCAAGAGTGTAAAAGATCACGTGGTTAATGGACTGAAACAGCTATCGTGACTAATGATGGATGTTACTACATATAGGGGCTTGACAAGCAGAAGAAAAATGGAGTGGTTGAGCGATAAACTAAACTCACAACTGGAATATACTTTTTCCCCCCTTCCGGCACAACGCGATGCTCTCGGAGCAAACAAGGGTAGCAGCACACGCGGTAGCGGCAGAAAGTGATCCCCAGCTGATCGCCTT